ATATTCCAGGACTATCCAGGACGATCATATTAAAGGGATCGAGTTTTCAACTAAAAAAGAAAAAACAGCTTAAAACTTATAAAGGGGACAATAAAATGAATTAGAAAACTAAATTAATCGTCTAATGTAAATATAATACAAGTTTCAACCAAATTTAAACAAAAAGGGATGGTTTCAACAAAGAAAAACAAATGTTTGAAGAATGTTCTAAACTGAATAGAAGAAAGGGTAGATTTGAAAGATGCAAGGCATGTAATTCTTACCCTTCCTTGTAGTGTCCTCTCAGTGATCCTTGGGTAAACCCCATTGGTTATCTGCAAATATTCCAGGACTATCCAGGACGATCATATTAAAGGGATCGAGTTTTCAACTAAAAAAGAAAAAACAGCTTAAAACTTATAAAGGGGACAATAAAATGAATTAGAAAACTAAATTAATCGTCTAATGTAAATATAATACAAGTTTCAACCAAATTTAAACAAAAAGGGATGGTTTCAACAAAGAAAAACAAATGTTTGAAGAATGTTCTAAACTGAATAGAAGAAAGGGTAGATTTGAAAGATGCAAGGCATGTAATTCTTACCCTTCCTTGTAGTGTCCTCTCAGTGATCCTTGGGTAAACCCCATTGGTTATCTGCAAATATTCCAGGACTATCCAGGACGATCATATTAAAGGGATCGAGTTTTCAACTAAAAAAGAAAAAACAGCTTAAAACTTATAAAGGGGACAATAAAATGAATTAGAAAACTAAATTAATCGTCTAATGTAAATAAAATACAAGTTTCAACCAAATTTAAACAAAAAGGGATGGTTTCAACGAAGAAAAACAAATGTTTTAAGAATGTTCTAAACTGAATAGAAGAAAGGGTAGATTTGAAAGATGCAAGGCTTGTAATTCTTACCCTTCCTTGTAGTGTCCTCTCAGTGATCCTTGGGTAAACCCCATTGGTTATCTGCAAATATTCCAGGACTATCCAGGACGATCATATTAAAGGGATCCAGTTTTCAACTAAAAAAGAAAAAACAGCTTAAAACTTATAAAGGGGACAATAAAATGAATTAGAAAACTAAATTAATCGTCTAATGTAAATATAATACAAGTTTCAACCAAATTTAAACAAAAAGGGATGGTTTCAACAAAGAAAAACAAATGTTTGAAGAATGTCCTAAACTGAATAGAAGAAAGGGTAGATTTGAAAGATGCAAGGCTT